CCCCCGCCCGCGCGGCCGAGACTCCACCCCCCTTCCCCGCCGCCTCCAGACCTCGCAGTCGCCCAAGTTCTCCCCCGCCCCAACTTCGGAGGCAGCACCTACAGCGGGCACTTCCACGCCCGCTGTTCCGCTCCAGGTCTCAACTCGCGGGCACACCCGACCCAAGCACACCCTCAGAGCCTGGGCGGCTCCGCTCCCCAGCCCGGAAGTCTGCGGCGCAGTGGCTTTTGGGGAGGACAGGTAGTGCTGGTGGAGTAGGGTTCAAATGTAGGGTAAACCTACACATGTAAGGTGCCCCTGGATGAAGCGAAGAGCACAGCCCGAGCCAAAGATCAGGGAGCCAACTCTTATCCCCAACCCCAAGGGGACGAGAAGTGCGGAGATTAGGAACAGGCACCAGGGCGCCAAAGGAAGCCAGGGAGGCAACACTTGTTGCCAAAGGCAGTCAAGAGCCTGGTGTTGTTTCGTTTTTTCTTTTGTAAGTGCACTGCTAATTCTGACTGAAAAAGCTGAGAAAGGCCCACTTGAGGGGCAGGAGGACCACCAGACCTAAGGAAGGAATCAATCATAGGCTTTTCGATAGCCCTGGAAAAGCTTAGATGTTTATACCCTTTTGGTACTTTAGAGAGGATGACAGCAAGAAATCCCAAGAAAAAGTGGTGGGGAGATTCAGGACCCAGGCTGACCTGTGACCTGAGCCACAAAGTCTTAAGAGGGAAGAAGGCAAGCTTCGCAAGACCAGAGGCTCCAGCACCTTTCTAAGAGGTCCACAGTGACTCCAGAGCAGAGAGAATTTCTCTGAGGTCTGAGCCCTGGGTACCAGGATGGCCCACTCTGTGCAACTCAGGTACCATGAGGAGCCACTCTGGAACTCACAGTGGTGTCTGGGAGCCCCTACTATCCACTCACCTCTACACCACTGACCCTGTCCCGTCACACCAACAGGGGTCCGTCCCCTGCCTGACCCCTGCAGAAGCCTCAGCTCCCCCAACCCACTCCTCTCACCATCTCACCCTAAGAAGTGAAGATGAGGAGCTAAAAAGTACGAGCCACCCCACAGGTGACTTTCCGGGGCAGGACGGCTGTTGTATGATCAGAACACACTCCTGACATCAGACCATCTCCAACCTACAGGCTTCCCCAAGGTGTGCAGAGCACAATCAGCCAGAACTCTGTTGTCTGCTCCTGAGTGAATGCTCACTAATTTGCTTCTACATTTAACCAGGAACGCTACACAGCAATGAAGAATGGGGGGGGGGTTGGGGGGCAGTGCAGGGGGTTGCATCTTAAAGCACTGCATGGAAGTGAGGGGCTAAAATAAAATCAAGTGGAGGGCTGAGTAAGTACTCTGACAGAGGAGACAAAGTCTGGTTCACTGAAGAGGGAGTCTTACAAGGGAGTCTATAGTTTCTCTCCCTAAAGCTTTACAGTAGAGCTGAGGGGTCCCTGTCAGGTCAGATGCTGTAGAAGCAGCTCAGCATTCCACAGGTGATTTCAGCACCTGCCACTATACCCTCAGGGAATCCTTCCCACTCAGCCTTCCTCACAAGAAACTGGTGAGGGAAAACTGACACAACAGACTGGATGCTTCACATTATACAAGCACTATACAAACAGAAAACATCTTCACTTGCATGTTGAAGGGACTTCCAGGAGAGTAGAGCCTCCTGGGTAGGATAAGGAAAACCTTCCACACAATGTAGAATCCGAGAGATGGATTCCCACAGACCTGAGGGATCCTGTGCCTAAGCAAAGCCTGGTACCAAAAATTTGAAAGGTGAAGCTGGAGGAAGTAACACACCTGCCCTGAGACCCACAGCTTCACCAGCAGCAGCAGCCTGGCCTCAAAAGAGCTGCCTTAGGCATCAGACCAGAAGAGAAAGAAAAGCTCAAGGTCAGTGATTCTTCCCAGGCCTGCAGGGGAGGCAGTGACCACCAAGGGGGAGAAAAGAAAGAAATCAACAGAAAAGTAAGCATAAATATAGAATTTTCAGGTGCTGTTACCAGCCCCTAGGGAATGTGAGGGCCAGATGTTACTCAGCTAGTGAGAGGCAAAGAAATGTTGGAAACTTACCAAACTTACCAACCCACCCAGGCAACAGTACCATGCTGTCTCTCAAAACTCCTAATACTGGGCACCAACTTTCCTTTCTGCTGTTTGCTTCTCTAAGAAATACAGGCATGTTGGCACAGGTAACTGAGCTCAAGGAAGGCGCAGGCAGGAGGTAAGAAGGTAACTATGAACAGGTTTGTTTTACTTACTAATACATCCTGCAAAAATATGAATGGCTAAGAGATAGCAGTCTGAAAACATGTGTCATCTTAAAGACCCTAACAGTACAATATGGCACAGGAAGGAAAGGTTCAGGGCTCATCTCAAGACATGAAGTTCCATCTATTAACTACATGCTTGGCTCTTGGGACTCCAACTTCCTTCCACCTCTTTTTAACCTGCTACCCCAAGAGGCACACTGTCAAACTGAATGGAGACTTTTCGGGCCAACGCAGTTAAATTCTCCTTAAAATGTTTACCTTTGTATAACAGGATGATCCCAGGTATTAACGGCAACAAAACGAGACAAATTCAGGACAGGCTTTTAATTAAGGACATCTAAGCCTTTTGCCAGCACACTAATTCAATACAGAAGAACAGAAATCCTCATTTAAAGCTTTTCTTTGTGTAACAAACAGGTATATCAAGTGATGCCAATGTTACTGATTTATATGCACATTGTCCTAGGCACTCCTAGAACATTAGTTATCAACATTTTGCAAGTGAAGAGGAAAACATGGCAGAGGTTATTCAACATATCTAGGCTTGCACATGGACCAAGAAAGTCAAAGCCAGAAAACAAATCCCATTAGTCCCCAAATCTGGGTTGTTTCTCTACGTTTCATGAGGTTTCATGCCCTAACCTGCGTTAACAGGAAGGAGGAGACAGTTTAGGAGATTATCTAGAATACTTCCCACCTCCAACACTCTCCCACTGTCATATTCAGTGAGCTCCCCAAGAGAACAGCCTACCCTGCCCTCAGTAATCCCTTTCAGAGTCTTAGCCCAAATTGACTTCAAATCCTATTATCTCACTGATGGAAAGGGCTTTAAAAGTACTCTAATCTAACATCCCTTCATGAACCTGAATTCTTTTCATCTTCTCCTTGGCCTAACCTCACTAAGCTAACCTCAAAATCCCAATTATTCACAATCCTCTACTAGGTACCTTTCTGGCCTTGGTATGGAAAGGATGGAAACAAGTTTGTATCCAGAAAGACTGAAAGAGAGGTGAAGTTTCCGTGTACCATTAGGAAAAGGGTTCTCATCTGGATGCAGATGGTGTCCTTCCTGAAAGGCAGTATCCCTGGAGTTCCCCATTCAACATTTTCTGCACAAAAGCAAGGCACTAAGTGAGAAATGAGACAAGAATCTTACCTTTCTCCTCTCAGTTGCTCCCATGGAGAACATCAAACCTCCATTCAGCATTCCATTTCCAAAACTGAGAATCCAAGTAAAATCCACCAAAAAATGTGCAGTTTCTCTTACCCCGGTCCAAAGTCCATGGCTGAGTGGACCCTGAGGCAGAGGAGTCTGGGGGGAAGGGGTATGTCCAGGCCCCTCCCCCCCCCTTGCAGATTTCAAAGTCCTTCCCAGGAGGCTGTTACATTCCTTCATTCAGCTGGTTTGTTAAATTCAGAGGCCAGTGACGGACAGATCCGAGGTACTATCCCATCTGTTGGTCGGGCAGGCGAGGTCATCCACTATGAGGACTGGTCCATCGGTCTTCTGCTGAGGCTCAACAGAAGAAACAGACCTTAAAAACAGCATGGCCTGGAGGCTGATTTGTGTGGTAACCTGTAAAACAAAAAACATGACAATATAATCTAGGGTATATCCAAAGGGATTCTTAAGACTTTCTAGTTTCCCCTCCATATTTAAAGTACATTTCTTTACTGTGCTGTATTGCCAACACCTCATCCTTAAATACCTCTAAGGTTACACAAAGTACCTACTTCATTTACATTTTGTACCACAAAATACACTTATCAGTATGGGCATATGCCTATGGCTCAGACTAAGAGTTGTACTTATTCTCAGTACAGAAAAGTAACCAAAAACATTGACTGTGTGCAGCCTGTATTATAAGAAATACAAAAAAGCACATCATCCTCTCATCTAAAGCACTATTCAAATCTCTCAAGCTTCTTAGGGTATTCAGTACTTTAATCTACCACCTCTTTTCAACTGAACTAAATCCTTTCCAGACTGAGATGCTGGCTTCTTCCACATGCATTCTCTGCTCCCTTTTCTTCAACCTTCACCTCCCCTTCTGCTTTGAAAACTGTGCCTGAGATAAATTCTCAATCCCTGTCAAACTTCACAGGGCCACTGCCGAGAGCACTCTTCCGGAAGCTCCAAGGCCTGAGTCCTGCCTGCAGTAGCCCCAGCATTCTAAGGTCTCACTGCGGAGCCCACCTCTGCGGCCCCGCCTAAGTTTATTCCAACACACACCTACACACACTCCCTTCCTTCCTGTAGGGGCGTGGCGTCCTCATAACCCCCTTCCCCAACAAGGATTTAACTCCTCCCACCCTTGTCCCCCGAACCCCGCGTTTCTAAGTTCACACAGCAGGGGTGTGATGCTGCGACCCTCCCCGGGTGCCGAGCCCCATCCCTCTGCCGCGCTGACGACCCTCTCCTTCAGCTCGCGGCTTCCTTACCTGGACCCTCCCTACTGTAAGCGGGCTGGAAACCTTTGCCGGCCTGGTCCCAGTCTGGGCCCAGCCGAGTCCCCACCGCCGGCCCAGGCCCCACCCCCTCGGCCCCGGGCGGCCCGGCCCTCCCCCGGAGCACCTTCCCCCGCCCACCCTCCGCTGCAGCCACTTCCGCCCATCCTCCGGAAGTGGGCCCACAGCCGCCGCATCCTCCCACATCCAGCTTCTTCCATCCCGGACCCCTGCCCGTCACTGCCGCCACGGCGGGAAGCCGGGAGGCGGTCTGCAGCACTGGAGGTTCTACACTGTTCACAGGATTGAAGACGAACTGTGGGCCAAACCCGATCTGGGTGAGAGACGCTGCTGCGGGCTCAGTACAAGAGGGGGCGGGACCAAGGCGAAAGCCCTGAGAGGGAGCGTGCGTTCCCTTGCGCCGCGCGAGAAGAAAGACGCATGCGTAGCGGGCGTGGGCCTGTCACCCGCTTGGCCGCCGGGACGCCAAACCCGGCTGAACTCGGTGGGGGCGGAGCGAGGAGCGCGGAAGTGGGGGCGGAGCCTGCGCGTCGTGCCTCGTGGGTCTTTGGGTCGAGGTCGCCTAGCAACGGCTCCCTGACAGAGCTTCTAAAGTCTCAGGCAGGCAGCTCCCTTCTCCGGCGAAACCCAGTTGAGGAAGCACCACGGACGGCTGTGTTTACCTGTTCCTGTGTCGAGAGCTCTGTCTAGCAATACCGCAGAAAATTGTTTTACTTTATCACTTTTTCTGAGTCTCTGCATAAGGCAGGACCTTCCTTGGCTAAAAAGAGAAAAGGGCAAGGTTATTGATGAAAATTGCCCCCCGTAGCCCTTGGCTGTACCTGCTCTGCGTTGGTAATTGAAAATACACAAATGGGGACCCCAGATACCATCCCCACAGCCAGGGCTGTTGGAGTACTAGAGGTGGGGTCTGGACTTGAACCATGCAGTCTGGTCTCGGATCACATCTTTACTGCACACCGTACCACCACTGTCAAGTATCTTCAATCTCCTTACAAGAAATTTACTCCTTCAGACATTGGGCTTCTGTTATGGCTTGTGTCTGGATGTCCCTTGAAAGCCTCTTGCAGTCATAGTTGGGGCTTTTCAGAAGTGGCTGGATCTAGGGTGTGTGATGCTGGGATTAAGGGTGCCCCACCCTGGGCGTGGGTGGTACCCAGAGGGCAGGTATCCTGGATGAAATATAAAGCCAGGTTGCTGCTGCCACTTTGCTGTTTCTGCCTTACATCTGTTCTGCCATGCCATGGACTGTTTTTCCTCTGCAGTACCCCTGTGCCACGCCGCCCTGCCTTGGAACCAGCTGACTGTGGACTGAAACCTCTACAAACTTTGAGCCGAAATAAACCTTTTCTCCTTTAAGGGTTGGGTATTCTGTCTCAGCAATGAGAAAAGTAACTAAGACAGCTGCCAAGTTCCACAATTACCAGGTTGCTTTTCTTGACAGGAAAAATTAGTAAATTTTTGGAGTTCATGTGTATCTCATGTGCTGGAATCTTGCCAGAACTGTGGATATATACAGTTATCCCCCGTTTTGAAAATGAAACCTACATACTAGTCTTATGGCTTTTTTTTTTTTTTTTTTTGTAATAGGGATTGAATTGAGGGCCTTCACACTGAGCTATATCCTGCCTCCTTTTTTATTCACATTTTAAATTTGAAACAGGGTCTAATTTGCCAGGCTGGGATTGAACTTTCGCTTCTCCTGTCTCAGCCTCCCAGAGACTGAAATTACAGGCTGTGCCACTGTGTCTGTCTTCTGGCATTTTTTTCTTCCTTTGTTGAGATCATATACTTTTAAAAGACTTGCTGCAGAGAACTGCTTGGCAACTTTGAAAGACAAGCTTTGCAAAGGAGACCGCCAAACAGAAACATTAAGATTTTGAGAACAGAATCTAGGCAAAAATGCATTACAGCTGAGTCTTCACACTGTGGAGGATACAGGCTTTTAAAAAAAAAAAAAAAACTACCAAATTTATTTCATAGTTTCATTTTTAAACTAGAGGTATTGGACAATCAGTGTAACTTAAAATTCATCCGAGGTGCAGAAAACATTAATAAGCTATTAAGTGCTGCAATAAACAAAATTACTGGACCATGCATTTAGAAAAGCCCTGTTTAATAGACAAAAGTTCTAGTTACACTACTTAATCGAAAGACCTTTTAGCTCTGGACCTAACTATATAGCACATCCTTATTTTGACATAATTTATCCTGTTTGTGCAATTATTAATCTACCAGCCAAATTTTTCCTAATTTTAAGTCTTTCTTTACCACTTTTTTTTTTGAGTACTGATAATCGAACTCAGGAGTTCGCACTTGCCAGGCAGGCGCTCTGCCGCTCAGTTATGTCCCTGGACCTCTTTACAACTTATGAAGTATTGGAGCTGGGGATTTAGCTCAGTGGCACGGCGCCTGCCTGGCAAGCGCAAGGTGTGAGTTCGATTCCCGGTACCGAAAAAAAAAAAACAGCTTATGAAGTATGATTTAAATGTTAATTCTTTAAGTGCACCTTAAAAAAAAACTGAAGTTTTAATTTTCACCTCAACCTGTTTGACCAAAAAGTACAGGATATCATTACCAGGTAAGTCAAAACAAAGAATTAAATGTTCAGTAATAAATAAAAACAAAAATGTTGCCTATATAATGAGCAATTATCCGACAAAACATGTCAATTGTTTGGCATTTTTACTGTAAGTTTTAAATCATAGTGTTACTCAACTCATCTCTAAGTGGCAGTATTTATAAATACAAAAATCATTACAAATACCGGGTGGTACTGTACATAGTCAAAATAAGAATTCTTTTATAAATTAGGTTTTTAAAAAATGCAGAATGTCTTGATAACTAACAATTGTCTCAAAGACTAAACTCATAAAAGTACAGAATACATGTACTTGTTGACTAATATTTTGCCTACTCTTTTACCCATAGGTTTCTTTTTTCAGAAGCCTCCATTCTTTTTTTAACAATTGCTGAAAATGTCTTTACTCCCATTTACTGAATATTCAAATTATCAACCATAAAAGAAGAGTACATTTTGGATTTGAATAAACATGCGTTTAAACAGATGCACCACACAGTGATATTCTCAATTTAAAGCTTTTTGTCTGCAGACTGTTGGTCTAGACCAGCAGGTCAACAGATGTAGTCTGTCCCCTCAACCAGATATAACAGTAGTTGCAGGATTAATTTGCATGTATAAAGTACACATTGACAACAGAAACGGTTACAACCAAAGAAAATTACTGAAATGGTAGACTATATCATGTTTGTACTTCCTGAACAAGGAGCCCTAAAAAAAGAAAGCATTTTTTGTGGCCATAAGTGCTACCTTTTAGGATTCTCAAATAATGACTAAACCATAAGAGTTTTTACTTTTATAAAGAAAATTAACACATACTAAATATTTTTCATCCTTGCTTAACACTCCAATTAAATGTTCAGTAATTGATCAAATTAACCCATATATGGCAAAATAATACACAGCTGTTAAAAATCACATTAGATAAATAATCTGCTTTGTAAATTAATAAACACACTGGCATATTTTTTATCCATGCAGAACTGTTAAAACTGGCACCTATTAGAGGTGGATTAAATGCATGAGGTGGATGTGGGGGGGTATTGTTTAGGTCTAGCTGTTCCCCTCATGGCTCCTGTGTTCAGAGGTGGAACTGTTAGAAGGTAACTGGATTGTGGAGGTTGACCTGCCGTTAGGAGATGGGACCCGGTAAGGGGGTCCTTGGAGGCATGAACTGGGAAAGTGTACCTCTGTCCACTTCTCCCTTCCCTGTCTGCTTCTGACTGCCGTGGTGTGAGCAGTTTTCCTCTACAGCAGACCCTTTCACTGTGCCTTTTCCGCATTTGAGATAGCCAGCTATGGACAAATTTTTCAAACTGTAAGCCAAAGTAAACCTCTTCTTTTTGCAGGTGTCCCGTATTTTGTCCCAGAGATGAGGGAAGTGACTAAAACATTGTCTTTGCTTATCTGATAGAAAAACCAATTTGTAGTTGTTTTCTTTTACTAATTGCTTGTAAAGTCCAACCTGTTTTTATGTATCACCTGCAAATTGCCTATTCATACCTTTTGCCCATTTGGATTTACCTTTCTTTCATTCTTTTGCAAGAACTCTTTTTAGATTATCCACTTTTTGTTGCCTATGTTGCAGCTGTTTTCTCACTGTTATTTGCCTTTTTAGTCTTTTTATATGCTCTTTTGATATTGCAGGAGTTACTGCCAGCGCAGACAAATGTCTGGTCTGGTCTTCCTGTGCATCCTCTGCCTTTAGAGCAAACACCTAGAGAAGTAAGCTAGAAATTTTTATGTCAGCTATCCACCTCAAGGACCAGCAGGCAATCACCACCAGTGAGATCTCCTGGACTGTCATTTGGATTAGGGTGGACAAGATGGACTGAATATCTGGAGAATATGGCTAAGGGGTTATTCATGCGAGGTGGTTCCTTCTCCCCATGGATGCCTTATGTTTCCACCAGAAGCAACAGGAAAATGACTGCTACCTCTCTTGTACATTCCATATTTGACTCAGTGGCACCTAACCGGCCAGATTGCAAAGAAGTTAGATTTACAACCTCTCCATGTACAAAGAAGATAACCAGAGACTGAAGAGCTAAACTGCCCACCAAACTAATGTGTGGGGCTTTCCATTCCAGTTTATTGAGTTATCTATTTTAACACCTATTTCAGTCACTGTAGGTAATAGTAATTTTTTTTTACCAATACTGGAAATTGAACCCAGGACCTTCACATTGAACTTTCTCCCTATCCCTTTTTATTTTTTATTTTGAAAGAGGATC